TTAAAGTGTTGCAACGGTCATCTTTTCTAAGCTACTGTATAAGAAGATACAAAGTTCAAAAAAGACATAGACATAGAATTTACATGCGATATATACATTTATACATAAATACTCTATAAATTTATTTTTTATTGCAAACACTTATAATTCTCTATTGATTATATAATGTCTAAGTTAGATGACCATAATATTTGTGTAACCTTTATAGTCATTGTTATAAGGTTGAGTCTAGAGAGATGTACTTGTCTAAAAAATAATACTTGTTTTTAAGTCTAAAGAGACTTGATTGTAAAAGAATACTTGTTAAGTCTAAATAAGCTTGTTGTTAAAAGAATTTTATGATAGCTACTTGAAGGGACAAGTTAAAGAAACTTAGGATTGAGTTAGAAGTAACTTGTTGAAAAATATTTGTATTTTTGTTTTAAGATAATGAAATTCAATCTAGTTGGATTGAAAACTAGACACAATTTTGGTAATTAAGACAAATTAGTATAAAAATACTCAGTATTTCATTTAACTACTCTTTGTACTTCATCTCACTAGAGTTACTATTTTAGTATGAAAATCATGCGAATTTTTTTATACACATTAGTCAACTTTCTTTTTTAGTGTATATCTTTTCTCCAGATGATCATTGAACTAACTTGAAAGAGAATTCCTAATGGTTAATATTACCTTGTATTGTCAATAGGAAATTTTCAAAAAGAAATATAAATTTTTCTTTAACATAAAATTATCATAGTAATTATTTAAGAAGAGATCTATCAATTCTGAGTAATGATTATGAGCTCTATAATAAAAGGAGAGGGTAAGTAAATGAATGAAAGAAATGAGTTTCCTATGTCATTTTATGAATAAATTTATTGATTAGCTTATTTGAATTTGACATGAATACCATATTCAAGAGTTATAATCTAGAGCTATAAATGATGGGAAAAAAGTTTATATTATTCTTTTGTTGGTTCTTCAAAAGTAAAAATATTATTTCATGGATGTTGAAAAGTGTTACTAGACATTGATTAGTAAAATTAATTTGATTAATTTATTATTAGTTTAATATTGAACTGAAATCACACACAAACTGCTGTATTAATCCTTGTCTGTAACGTAGTTAGTAGACTGGAACGGGACGTTCTCAAATTGGAATGAGCTGTTCTAAACTACTAAAATAAGGGTGATTTAGTAGCTCAGAACGGGTTGTTCCCAAACTGGAATGGGCCATTCCAAACTGCTAAATAGGTCTAAAAATCCTAGTTGAAAACAGGTCATTCCAAACATAGTTATTATGAGTAAAACTCGACTCCAGAATGGGTCGTTCTGGTTTAAGAACGAGCCGTTCTACATGTGAATTTTACACATGATGAAGGAGTGCAGAACGGGCCGTTCCGGATCTGAAACGGGCTGTTCTGACGACTCTAGACTTCTATAAATAGGTCACATACACGCAGTTGAGGAAAAAGAAACTTAGAGAGAAGTTTTAGAGAGAAGGACTCTGGACTAGGAAGCTTGCTTTTGGAAGATTGAAGTTCCCGGGTTGAGCTTCGGAAGAAAATTTTGCTTCTTCTCAATTCTTAGCTGTTCGGAGCCAATCTTCAGGTGAGAGAAGCTAGAATGTAGGTTGTTTGGTTGCATGTGAGTTTAGAAACTCAATTGATGCGTTTGGTGAATGCATGTTGAATCTGAGTTGGTTAAGTTAAAAGTTGCTTTGGGTGCTTAGGTTGATTGATGTTGTTTGGGTGTGTAAGTTGGCATGATAGATGGGTTGTAAACATGTAGTATGATTTGTGTTATGTGATGAAAATGTTGTGTGTTGATAATATGTTATATGTTGTTAAAGTTGCTATATGTTGAGTATTTTGGTGAAACTAAGTTGTTTTCATGTTGTTTATTGTTGAATTATTAATAAGTTGAGATGTATAAGTTGAAGTAGTTTATTGTTGTAAAATTGATATTGTGTTGACTATAGTTACTCTAGTTGTTTAATTAAGTAGTATAAAGATGCCTATTGCTGTAAATTTGAAAGTTGCCTTAAAGTTGTTGAAGTTGAGATTGATGATTATAGTTGCTTATTGTTGTAAAGATGACTATTGTTGTAAAGTTGTTATGACGCCTATAGTTGTAAAGTGGTAAAGTTGTTAAAGTTGTATAGTTGAATAAAAAGTTGTCAAGTTGGTATGTGATGTCTATTGTTGAAAGTTGCTTTTAAGTTGTAAGTTGCCTTAAAGTTGTTCAGTTGCTCTAAAGCTGTTGAAGTTAATATTTTGATGACTATAGTTGTCTGTTGTTGTAAAGTTGTAAAGTTGTCTATTGTTGTAAAGTTAAAAAGTTGGGGACATATGGTGAAGATATATGTCCTATGTTGAGATACATAGTACTAAGGTGATAAGTTGAAAGTTGTTTTAAAGTTGAATCCCTTAGTACTGTGTGGACAACATGGAAGTAGTCGATTCATGTCATGGTTGAATGACCAATTTGAGTAAAGTATCTAGTTAGATATGTAATCTTTAACTAGGTACTGGAGGGTGCGTGGTACTTGGAGGACAGTGGGTGGGCTAACTTCATATGTGGATTGGTGATGCTAGCCAAGGTCGTGGTAGGCTCATACCCAAATCCTTCTGTCTTGACAGCAGTACTGGACCTCCGAGTCTAAGTGGCACACCCAAGTAATCGCCTATTGTTGTCTATACCTAATTCTCTTCAGAGTTCCTAACAATGTCCTATACCTGACCTAGTTGAGATAGGTCAAATGTTGGATTCGATAGGATTTATGCCACCTAGACTGCTCAACCTTAGTTGTCGGAGATCTCCTAGTTGTATATGCGTGACGACGCATTAGTTGATGTCGCATGTGTTATTGCATTCAAGTTGCATATAATGTTATATGAATGAGCTGAGAGTCGAACTATTGTGTTAAAAATTATGTGATTGTGCTGTGATGATTTGTTGTTGATCACTAGGACTAAAGGAGAAGTTTTTGAAGTTGTTCATCCCATTGTGCGGATTGAGATAGTTGTGGTGCTCTAAGAGCCCAATTTGTTGAAAAACCCTCCTTGGGAAGTTATCCCTTGGAGTGGGTGATGTGTTGTTCTTCTCTATGAAGCTTAGTCGGTCCCATGTGTGGGCAAGGTCGAGGCACACGTGTATGAAGCGACCACGGTATAGGGGCCAGGCCGAGCTATACCGATTACAAGCGGCCAATTTGAGTAAAGTACGATGTGTTGAAAATGTTGTTGCTATTATATTGAGTTGTCTAATAGTTTGCGTTGAGGTGTTCATACTGTGTTGATCGGTGTTGGTGTGTTGAACTAAGTTGAAATGATGTTAAGATGTGTAGTAGGTGTGTTGTTTGTCTTCTATGTTAGACGTGAAGATGATTCTATAGTTATTTGTGTTGCATATTTAATTATTATGAATTGTTTATTGTCTCTAGCTTACCCTTGCATGGTTTCATGTGATTTGGACTGCGATGATCATACGATGTATGAGAGCAGGACAATAATAGGCTGAGAGATAGCTGCTAGAGACCACAGGAGGTGCCTGGAGTGAATGTTTTATCTTGTAGGTTACCTTATAGTAGCATATTTTGTTGTATATAGCTGGGTGTTATTGGTTGCTTGCTTAGCAACTTGTGTTGTAAATATTTTATTATACTATTTTAGTATATATTCTAGTAGTGCGTAATATTGTTTCGTAGTGTGACGGCCACAATAAGTCGTTACATTATCAGAAAAAATATTTTATTTAATAAATCAAATTAGATAATTTATTAAATATTTTTCTGTATGTAGATATATGAGGAGACTTTACAATGAATAAGCAATTTTATGCTTCAAGAACCGATATCCAGGTACATGTTTATAGCATTTTTTTTCAATGATATGCTTTTGAATAAAAATATAGCATTTTTTTTAATGTGTTGTATATGTTCGCGCACAAATTTTTCATGACATAATATTAATATAATTAAGTTTTTTTAATTAAATAAAGCATAACATTTTTTCATTAGAAAGACCCTATAAAAATGAAGTAATATCTCTTTTTTAAATTAAAACAATTAAATTATATTTAGGTGTCTTATTTAATCAAGTAATGAATTTATTATTTTATATAAATAAGATAATTAATTACATATAATTTACTTATATATACATATATAGTTTTTTAATATTAACATATCATCAACAACAATTTTTAATTTAATATTATTTTTGTTTTTAATTTTATTAATTTAATTTTAAAATTATTATTTTTTCAACATATATAATTTATTTAGAGACATATAATTTGTTTTTAATATATTATTTTTGTCTTTGAAGGTAAATCATTATTTGTGATTTACTATCATCAAAATTAATGAATCAAAATACAAAAATAACATTAAAATTATGATATATA